TTTCGCTCAAGCGAGGCTTGAGCGAGTGAATTTCCGTGAACTTTAACGTATTTTCACTCAAGCGAGAGTCAATCTCACTTTCACCTCGAACGCGCCCTCACATCCAACATATAAATATATAAATATATAACTATATAAATATATATAAATCTATCAAAATATATAAATATATTTGTATTTATATATTCTATATTTATACATTTATACAGTATATATATTTATTTGTATATAAATATAATTTATATTTGTAAATTATTATAAAAAAATTATAGTAGTTTAGTGGTTGGAATATCAATTTTCAACTCTAAAATATCGGATTCGAATCTCGTCAGTGACAATTCTCTAACTTAAGTGAATTTTTGATCGAAAAAAATAAAAACACTTTCCAAAAAATAAATATAAATAAATATATATTTACACTGGATATATATTTATTTGTATATAAATATAATTTATTTATAAGTTATTATCAGAAAATTACAGTAGTTTAGTGGTTAGAGTATCAACTTTCAATTCTAAGATATTGGGTTCAAATCCTGTGAGTGACAATTCTCCAAGTTAAGTAAATTTTAGGTTGAAAAAAAATAAAGACACTTTCCGGAAAATATATATAAATAAATATATATATTTACACGGATATATATTTATTTGTATATAAATATAATTAATTTGTAAGTTATTATAAAAAAGTTACGAGTAGTTTAGTGACAATTCTTTAACTTAAGAGAATTTTTGGGTGAAAACACATTCAACGCTCGGTTCATGGAACCGACGTGAAAAGTGCTTTTACGTCGGTTGACTAAAAACCGACGTAGAATGTGTCCAACATTCAACGTCATTTTTTAGCTACCCGACGTTGAAAGTGTATTTAACGTTGACTCAGCTTTTAACCGACGTTAAATGACAACGTTGAAAGCATATTTTGTAGTAGTGAGAGAATATTTGTATGATGTTGTTAATTACAATGGTTGAGTTATAATTTGTATCCCTTAATTTTTACGAACATAAGAAGAATGAGTGAAGTGTTTTTATTTATTTAACTCTCCATACTAAATCTTTAGGTTATTTTCAGTAATATGGTATTAGTTGATTAACATTTACATTTTGAGTGGTTAACATTGAGAAAACGAGATTAATTCGATCTGTTAGTCAAGAAAAATAGGGTATGAATCCTAAAAATAATATATTAAAAAAAAACTTATATAAATTTATTTATCCATTTAATGTTTATATGTAATTTTTTTTATCTCTTCTCTTCAATTTTTTTCTCATTGATTTCTTATCTTTCTCTTTTTATTTTATGTTTCTTATTTTTTTCTGCTCTCCCACTTATCTTCTTAATTAAACTACTATATAAAATTTTAATAAAAATATATTAAAATATATATTTTAAAAATAACATTGAAACTAAAAAAATATTAATTAATTATTTAAAATTATGATGATAATAAATAAAAAATATTAACTAATTATTTAAAATTATGATGATAATAAATAATTTTATTTATTTTGTCATAAATAATTTTATTTATGAAGACGTAAATAAATAATTTAAAATTATTTTATTATAATAAATAATTATTCATCTAATTAAAAAAATATCAAATATTTATAATTTAAATGTATTTTTATTTAATATTTTAATATAGTTATGATAATTATGTATTTTTAAAAAAATATTTATTAAAAATATTTTAAAATAAATATTTAACTTTTTCTTACTACATTTTCAATAGGAATTTTTAACTAGTGTTCTCTAAAAATAAAATTGAATATTTTATTATGGATCTCATAGTTGAGTTACTTAAAACATTGTCAGAATTGTTTATCCAAAAAACTTTCTTTCAATTTTAAATAACTTTTTCTACTTAAATACGAGACCCATAATAAAATATTCACTTTTATTTCTAAGTAACTCTTGGTAGCAACTCCAATTAGAGATGCTCTTATAAGATACTAATAATATTTGTAATATCTCAAATTTATCATATAATATTTTTTCTTATATTATATATTAAATTATAGTATTAACATTTAAATATTTTTATTTTTCAATAATAATAAAGGATTTATATTATCAAATTCAATATGTTATTTTTAGCTGAAGAATAAGACGGAGGAAGAATAATGAAAAATAAATAAAAAAAATAAGAGAAATAATAAGGAAGAATAATGAAAAAGAAATAAAAAAATAAGAAAAATAATAAGTAAATGAAGAGAGATTAAAATAAGAAAATAAATAAGAAAAGTGAGAAAAATAATTATATTATGTTAAATGAATTTATTTTTTCTTATTAAAGTTTGTATATGAATAGTAAATATGTTTAATTGAGTAATTTTTTTCTCTAAATATATTATTTATGATATTGATCGAAAAAAGAAAGCAAATAATTTTAAAAAATATGAATTTTTTACATATCAATCCATTAATAATACAGTTAAAAAAAAACAAATTATTTGTATAGGATCTGTATAAATTTATTTATTTAAGTAGACCGGTTTATTATTCATACACCAAATTTAATAATGAAAAATAATTTTGTTTGACATATATAATACAATTATTTTTCTTTATTTCATCATTTTTTTCTTATTTTTTTCTCCATCTTAATTTATTTCTTGTTAGTCTTTTTCCTAGTTCAATGTTTTTTTTCTCTCTACCCATCTTACTTTTTTCTCACGCTCCATCTTATTTATTTAATTAAAAATACTATATTAAAATTTGATAAAATGATATTTTATTATTTAAAAAAATAAAAATATTTAAATGATCTAGAAACATTATAATTTAATATATTATATTAAAAAATATTATTTGACAAATTTATAATATTATAAATATTATTGTTATGTTATAATTATTCAGAAAAAATTAAGTAATTATTTTAAAGGAATTTTTTTGATAAATGTTTTAAAATTATATGTCTAATCATCGTTACTCACCTAATTATAACTAAATTAAATTAATAAAAAAAATACATTTAACTTATAAATATTTGATATTTTTTAATTAGATAAATAGTTGATTTATTATGATAAAATAATTTTAAATTAATTATTTACGTCATCAAAAATAGAATTATTTATTATCATAATACATAAAATTATATAGTATCATCATAATTTTAAATAATTAATTGATATGTTTTTAATTTCAATGTTGATTTTACATAAATATTACTTTAAAATATTTATATTAAATTTTAATATATTAGTGCTAATTAGAAAATAAGTGGAAAATGAGAAAAAGATATAGAAAGAGAAAACAATGAGTGAACGAGAGAATATATATATATATATATACAAAGAGAAGAGAAACTATATATAGATAGTAAATAAGACTATTTGAATAAATAAATGGATATAGATTTTATTTGAGAATTATTGTTTAAAATATTTTATTTTATTTTTTAACATTGATTTTGTTCACCGTCCAATTTTTTTCATAAAATGTTAACAACCATTACCAGCATATGAGTGTCACCAATGATAGACTATATTTAATTAAACGTTGTTTTTTTTTTTTTTAACATTTTGAGGATATTTTATTGAAAATGGATAGATTAAATTTTTGGGTGACCATTGTAAATTATGTTTTAAACACAACTCCAAGAGAAAAAAATCCGTTTTATAACACATTTTTACAAATAATACAAGTTATTATGTTTTTAAATATTACATTTTAAATAACAAAACATATTTGAAAACATGATTTTAACTATTTTTTTTATTTTGTATTTAAAAATACCATTCCAATACTAAAAAAAAGAGCTTGACCCAATTTCTATTATTTGCTTGAAAATTTGAAAACAAAATCGAGTTTCATTACTTATCTATAGCCCAAATGTATTTCGATCTATTTTTTTTTATAATTTTTTTTTAAATTATCCAAAACTCTAAGAACCCTCCGATTTGTTAGGATATATAATATAACAGATGACTTTTTTTTTAATAAATTTAAAATAAATCTTCGTAATATTATGTTATAATATGAGTTTAATTTTAATTTTTCTAGTTTAATTCTATAAAATTGGTTTAGTAGGTAAGAGTTACTCCTCTCTATATTCTTTATATGTATTTAATTTTAGACTTGATATTTTTTTTTCCAATATATTGAATGAGTCTTGAAAGCTTTAAATGGGTGACTTTAATAACTTATTCATATGAGGAGACTTTTATGTTTACAACAACTAGCTTATAAATTACTCAACAAAAAGGAATTGTCCTAATGTCCTATTTTCTTTAGCTTCTCTGTCTATAGGTTATTTTTTGGGAAAAATTATATCTTTAACAATTCTATGAAATTGTACGTGTATTGTATAATCTACTTTGATATAATTAATAATAATAATATTTTAATTTTTTATATTTATTAAATTATTAAATTTGATTTTAGAGTTTTTGTATAGAAAAAGTGTGATAGTAAATATATCATTACTTCGTGTAGTTGCTGTCTATCAACGTCAGCTTCTTACACATGACCGTGGATTTGATAAAATAATTGAAACACTCTCTCCACATAAAAAGTCACCCATGCAGTGGTTCATGAAAAGTCTTACCACAAGAAATTTCATAATCATGAAAATATAGGAAATAGATGTATTTACATCTATCCTTTCACAAACTTACAAATAAAATTTTTAAAATAATAATATTTTTGTTAAAATGAAATAAAATAAATAAATGATGACGAAGAATGTTTGAAAATTTATAGATATCAAATTTCATGACCGGAAGAGATAAAATAATGCAGAGATTTTAGACGCGTGAATGGTGGTCCCAAGCAAAACCTTTCTGCATTCAGCACTATCAAGGAACCTTCTCACATTTATGATTATATGCGTGTGCTTTCCAAATAGTTGAATCCAGAAGCGTTCTTTACAAGCTCCCCCTTGACTTATTCCTCCTCAATACTATTTTTATATAAATATACGCCACAGTCGGAACTTAGTCATCCATCATTCCATTCCAAACATATTCTCAACCCTTTCTCGACCTAAATGGGTTTGGCAGGATTTCTGAGAAAACTCCAAGATATCTATACTACTCATAAACTCATATCCACAATTTTCTTGTGTTTCTTGATCATACCTCCCACTTACTTCTATAGCTTCTATGTCTGGGGGCATTTATCCAATGTTTTTCTCACAAATAGTAAAGACCTGAACAGCTTTGTAGGCGCAACCTTTCGTTATGTCTCATTTATTGCACAAGTCGAAGCTTTTACCGTTCTTGGCATATCTATGTTTTCCTTGCAAATGCCAATTTACTATATCTTGGCCTCACAGAAAAAAGTAGATTCAGAAGCGGAGTTGAGCATCAAAAGCCTGATATTAATACTTACTAAACCCGCCAGAAGCTTACTTGTTACGTGGTTCTTGGTAAGGATAATTAAATTGGCTTATATATTCTTCGGATTGTTAGTTTTGCATCGGCACATGGAGTTGATTACTAATTCTAGTTGTGAGCAGCAACATGATCTCAGTCAAGTCTTAGCCAGCAACATTGGCACAATGATTTTCGTTGCAGGAGGTGTCTTAATCTTTGCTTATGTGGCCACTTTTGGGAACTTGGCAATTGATATATCGGTTCGTGAAGAGATTGGTGGAACCAGGGCATTGAAGAAGGCTTCAGAGGTTTTAGAGGGAAAGAGGAAACTAATTGGATTTCTCGTGAATCTGGTACTGGGAGTTATATCTGTATGGTTGTTTGAAGGGTACGTGTACTTGAACACATGCTCAAAAGTGTCGGTGGAGTCTAAGAGGTTCATGTTGATGAACATATGGCACTATGGTATATATCAGGTTGAGTTTTACACATGGATATCCTTCTCATTCATGTATTCAATGTGGAAGAAGGATCGTGGAGAAGTAAAGTTTCAACCCCAGGGAAGCTTGAAACGCATTCTGATGGAGGAGGAGGAGGAGGAGGAGGAGGAGAAGGAGCCTTTGATTTAAGAAAGAAACTAGGATACCAATTGTAACTTGGTAAACTATGAGGATTAATTGTAAGTTTTAATTTTGTAAATTGGAAATAAAACTGAAAGCATTTATATTTTTACAATAGTAGATTTTATTTCACGTGTTATATTATCATAAATTTAACTCGCGTGCCATACATTACAAATAATCTCTCTATCGAGAAAAAAATTATTTTACACCATAAACATAAATATATAAATAGGTAATTGTTTTTCTAATTTATCTTTGATTAATTTAAATTTTAACCGACTTTAATATATTTTACCTATAGTTATTATTGACAATGTCATATCTATGATTGTTAGGTACCGGAAAAAAAAAACTTTCAAAAATGAATATGGTTTGACATTTCTTAATTATATCCACTAACATATTTAATAATTTTTCATTTTTCAACTTGTAATTTTTACAAATACAAAATTACAAATCCTCTCGTATAATTTTTATAAAGATAAAATTGGAAATCTTCTCTTATACAAAACTACTCAAGTCCCTAATATATTTAATGACTAGTATTATTATGATAAATAGATCCAAACTATCACCTCTTATCTATAATAATAGTTTATCACTCCTCTTTCAAATTACTTAATGTGGGACTTTGATTTCATTGGAGAGAATCTATCTGTGTACTCTTCTTTACTTTTAACCTCATTGGAGAGAACCTACCTCGGTACTCTTCTTTTAATAAGACGTACTTTTATTCTAAGACACATTACTTTTCTTCTTCAATGTACTCACACTGCTCTGGCCTCTCTTCCTTCCATTAAGAATCCCACAAAAATTAACATGGTTCGATATTTCTTGCTTACATCCACTAACACACTCAACAACTTTTCATTTATCAACTTGCAATTTTTATAAGGACAAAATTGCAAACCTTCTCATACAATTTTTACAATGACAAAATTACAAACTCTCTTTTAACACACAATTACCCAAGTCCCTAATACATTCAAAGACTAATATTGTTATGGTGAGTAGACCCAAACTATCACTCCTTATTTATAGTAGTAATCTACCACTCCCCTTCTTCAAACTATCCGATGTGAGACTTCATACACTTTGGACACAACAATGATTGACAATATGACTGCATGATTTTATACAGACAACACTATACCTTAAATAGATAGCATGTTGGTAACAAAATTCGGTTGTTTTTATGAAAATTATATTACAATTATATATATATATATATATATATATATATATATATGTTATTAGTGTTTATTGTGAATATAACATGATTAGTGATAAGTTAAGACCACAAAAGCTCACATGGTTGTATCTAAAGGTATAATCTATGATATTTATTTTGGTTTATTTTTATTACTAAAAACTAATTTAATTTCTATATTTTGAGAAACAATATAAGACAATCTAGAGGATATGAGTGTGATTATTATGTATTGTAATGGATGACAACTATTATTCATGCAAGAATAAATGTTGGGATCAAGTAAGATAATTAATACTTATTTAAAAATGATTAAGTATACTTACGAAAATTTATTTATCATATTGCAGTTTTTTATGGAGATATATCTCATGGATACAAATGTCATAGATGATATTAGACACACATAATACATTATGATAGTTTAGTTTTTGTTAAAATAACACTATGTATATGATCATGATTTTATGGTTGAACCTTAATATAATTTACTAATTATTCTTATACATTTAGAATAGTTACTAATTATACTTGTAAGGTTTATAATGACTTTGTAAGATTTTAGTAAAACTAATATTATATTTTAAGTATTGATTATATTTATGATTATGTATGGATTGTAAATATGTTTAAAATTTGTATTGTATTGTGTATTTTGAATATACAGGTAATTAGAAAGAGCTTAAAATAGATTATTCTTTAAAAAAAAAAAACTAAGATATAACAATAATTAATACCATAACCGTCGTTATATACATTCTTGACGCAAGACTTTAATGATAGATATGGTCACACTCATTGTTGTAGGTAAGAGATACATCGATGGTTATTCATAAATAATTATTGTTATATCTCACATCCAACGATACGTCTTTGTAATTGTCAGTCAAATTAAATGATGGATAAAAACATATTGTTATATATCTTATATACAATAACGACTTCATTAATGATGAGTCCTAAATTGATGTGATAGACCAAATTTAATCATCGTTAATGACTATTATGATAATGATAATAAGATGACTTTTATACTTATCTATGTATCTCTAATTTTGAGGGAAATTTTTTATCATATCATTCCCCTTAAAGAAATTTTTCTTGTCTCAATATCACTAGATTAATTTTGATATACCATTTTAAAAAATTGTGAAATATTTAACTTAATCTTCCAAAATTATTTAATAAAATGATAATTGTACCCAAATGTTATATATATTTATATATAATTACCTGAAATTTTATAAAAACAAATAACTGATCATTTGAGTGTTTGGGATCACGCGCTTAAGCAAGAAAGATCCAAGTTGATTAAAGAAGGGTAAAATATGTGCTCATTAGCTATGACGTAAAATTATGTAAGTTCAAAAGGCGTTGTATAATCGAAATCACCACCTAAATTTATGATCCAACTAAGTTTTACATTATATGTATTTTTTTTTAATTTATAAGAAAATTAATATGAAGCCGTTCTTTAACACCACTTAATTAATACTTAATCTAGACCATATAATTTAACACCACTTAAAAGTTAGAGAAGCCGTTGTTTATATTTGACGAGTTCCTCACCCGATTTCCTGAATGGTATTCGTAAATAAATTAAAAGTTATGACAAATTGAAAGATTTAACTCAACCAAAGAGTCGCTGCCACCTAAAGGTGTGTGGGCCCAGCATATTTGGAATCTATAACTTTGGGCCCAGGAGGAGGCCACCGCCAAAAAGCAAAAGGGAATATATTTCAGAATTTTCTTGAAGGTTAATCAATCTTTGAAGTTTATTATTTTTGTTGTATAATAGGTTTCAAAGGTATCTATCTAAACATAAACATTGTATTTTGGAAAGAATTATGCAATAGTAATTATTCTAAACAACCTTAATATAAGTAAATGTTGACATACACAACACTACAAAAAAAACGCTTATTATTTACGGGTATGTTAGTGGCAAATCGAGGAAAGTGATCGAAATCGAAGGAAAGAGATGCGACTCGATAAGATTCAGTCGACGTCTAATTAGAAATACGTAGCATACAGCATCGAGGAGCACAATCAAGAATCGAATGAATAATAATCAAATGACTGTTGTCGAATAAAAACTAAGTCATATAAGACCAGGGTTAAAAAGGAACTGTAAGCAGTTCAAAGTTCTCGAAAAATACCGAATCGAGAGTAAAGAAAGCCAACGTGGACATCGAGACTTTGACCAAATCGTGAAAGGAAGACGAATGCACGTATAAAGAGCAGTTTTGAAATCATGGGGAAAAAGTCGGAGATCGTGAGAACGTGGGAAACTACAGAAGATAAACTGCCATACGCACGTAGAACGTGGTAGCAGTCGCGTTAACTGCTCTCAGAAAGCTTGAAGGATGCCCTATAAATAGAGCAAAGGAGAAAGGAACAGGAGAGCAAAAATTGGCAGAGCACAGAACCAGTAGTGAAAAGTCTACCGGAGAAACGACGAACACCATGAAGCTTCTGACGGTCTGGATTTCCCTGCTCATGGAGTACATTTATCGCTTTCTGTATTTTCCTTGGTAATTTACTTTGATGCAACTTAAATTCAGCAGTTTTATGTTTCTGTATTTCGATTCCTTGTCCATTTCAATTCAATGAAAATTTGAGTTTCTGCATTTAGATTTCCCGTTATTTAACATTCTGCAAATCTCAATTTCCTGTCATTTACTTTTCTTGCAATCTCGATTTCTTGTCATTTATATTTGTGTTGTTTTCGATTCCTCGCTATTTACAATTAATGCGAGTTTGGGGTTCTCGCATTTTACATTTCCTCGCAATTTAATATTCTGCTTTTCTATTCGATAGTCTAAATGTTTTCGATACTTTAAATAGTAAATACCAAAAGCAGCATTTTCGATATCCTGGAGTTTTCGATTCTCATACACATTTTCGATTGAAAATCAAATTGCTAGCCTAAGTAAAAAGAGCTTACGTGGTAGAATTTTGATTAGGACCAAAACACCCTTAGAATCAAAATCGATCGAAATTCCACCAGAAACAAATTGGCGCGCCAGGTAGGGGTTGTGTTGAAAAAACACAAAAAAGGTTAGTTCGAGAGTGTATGAGATTAAGAAGTGGGAGAGTTATAAGAATGAGTCAGAATTCATCAAGTAGTCAGAATAACAATGAGGGTCTAAGTGGTGTGCTCTCACCAAATACAGGGGGGCAAGGGTACAATGGGAGTATGCCTGTAGTATCGACAACTGTAGGTACGTCGATACCAACAAGTAATGAACAAAATCCAGGAACATTGGCAAACACCCATATAGGGTCTAGTATGACGATACCAAACAATATGCAAACTATGGGAAACCCCATAACCACTTATGCAGGGCCATATACGAGTGTAAGACCACCTGGTTTTTCACCCAATAACATGAACGGAGCTGGCACTTCGTCGATACATAGAAATTCACGATATAGCTTAGGAATGCCTCCAAACGTAGGTACATTTCAAACCCTAGGCATGCCGCAAAACTTTGGAGTTGCTTCACATTTAGGGACGTCTCAAAATTCGGTGACATCACAAAACTCGAGGAGTGGGCAAAATTTAGGTATACAACGAGACATCTCCGAATCTAGATCCTAGAGGGAATCCCGATCATGGGAGGTATGCATTTGATAGGGACTATCATCGATCTAATTTTGAGAATATCGAAAATACCAATACTTGGAATTTCCAGTAACTCCCTAGGAATACTTAGACAACAAATGGATGAGAGTAATTTTGAAATGGTGAATATGTTATCACGACGATTGACTACGGTCCTAAACCCATTAG